GATAGTGTAGACAGTAATAGACTAATAGAAGTGTCTTACGCATTCTAGCGTTTGGCACCTCACCCCAAACCGCTTCAATCTCATGCTCTCAACTTTACCTGAAACTTTCATCGGCAACAACAGACGGTTCCACACAGGTCTGCCTCACAACACACACATCCCTAGAGATCCCAACCACGTTCCCTCATACCTCTCACCTCGCAAAACACCTCATACCTCAGGCCTACCTCAGGTTCTGTCACTCTCTCGTCGGGTGTCAAGTCGCGGACCTCGCCCTCGCCCAAGCGGCCGGCGTCGGCGATGTTGATCATCGCCTCAGCGGAGCCGGGCGGAGCACGCCCGTTTCACGCCGCGTGGGGCGGAGGCGGCCGCCACGAGGCGGTTGGGGGTTTTGAGGGCCCGGGTTTTCGTCGATCTGCATCTGGAGATCAGGGATGCGATGATGATCAAATGAGGCTAAAACAAACATGTTGCAAAATAAAAGCCAACAAACAAACTGGCCCAAAGATTTCACCTCAAGGTCCTGTTGAGGAATGTTCTGGCAACTGACTTGTGTGATTGGAGTGTCAGTCTTCCCTTATGTTTTCCAGGCCAGAGGGGTGAGTCTGTCTGATGGACAAACTTCTGGACCCCTGTCTTTTGAGCCGTCTTTGAGCACTTGAGGTCGCTGCTCAAGATAAATTATCTCATTTGAGTGGCCGCTCATCTGTTTCCTACTAGGTTTCCTTTATTTGCAGCGAACGCGCCAAAGAACCGAGGCCCCATCTTCAAACCAAGAACGACGACTGAACGACCGACCTTCAGAGCTGTTGATGGGTCAATGTGCTTCCCAAGTGAACGAGTGTTTGTTTCCCCAAGTTTCTTTGTTTCTTCCAACTGTCTCTAGTTCCTAAGCTCCCCAGCCCGCCGGAAGGTGAGCTCAGCCTCGGTTTTCTCGTTGAACTCAAGAGCTCGGAACGGGTTCCCTTTCCCACGTGGTGTGCAAGGGCTTTCGGGTGGTTGCCTAAAATGGAGTCCACATGGAATTTCAGCCACGGGGTCTGCAAGGGTGCTTCCAACATGCAATAACATCATCAACAACATGTCATCATTGGTTGGTCATGGATGGGGCGAACCATTCGGCCGCATCCGGCTGAAGTCTTCAAGTCGTTGAGGGAATTGAACTGGAAAATGTCATTAAGTCTTCTTTGATAGTGGAATGGCAAGTGTTCGCAAACATTTTTTGCAGATTTCTTGCAACCTCATTGCAAAGCATGTTCCATAATGTGTGCTTAACATGTTTTTGAACTGTAAATACAACAGGTAATGACTGGCATCTTGACCTACGAACACTACACACAAGGAGGGTTACTAGAACGCTGCGCAGCTGGGCCGCCAGGGTCACTTGCAACTGCGCGACAAACCTTGAGGAATATGAGGTCTAGAGAGTCATGCACCTCAGCCCAACCCTCATGCCTACCAACACACAGCTCGGGGAATCGGGGTGGCTAGCTTGAAAACGCGACTTGAACCACACATTCGCGGAACTTTCGCAACAATTCACTGGAGATATCCCCAAAAACGCAGATCATGCGCAAACATCTGCACAACCTGCCAGAGCTGCGGATCGTTGCCCCATTCTCAGCTGTGCAAGGACAAGTTGAGTTCTCAGGTTGTCAGTCTGTCACAGTGGGGACAGGAATCAAAGACTCCTATACGTATTGCGCAAGGAAACGTTGAGGATTCAGTTCGTTAGTTTGGTACAGTTGGGACACTTCTGCCCACTGGCTCTGCCGGAGGATTGCCTTGGACTTTTACCATATGTCGGTAGAAGGGAAAACATATGAACATGATTGAACATGAATACCTTCGATAGTTCTTTCGGGCAAATAACCAATTATATACTTTCGCAAACCTCATCCCGGGTCTTGCGCGGATGGTTTGCACAGCATCTGCATCTGAAAGGTCAGTTTGTACAACACCCCTTATTAGATCAACTCCCATATATACACATGTCCTCAGGGCTTCCCAAGCTCACCCCAACAGCCATTTGTTTGGAGCTGTGGGGTATATGTGGTTTGTCGACTCCTGCTGACTCTCATACGCAACACGCTACATCCGTCAACAGGAAAAGCACGCACACAGAACCTGCTCCAAAACCTGCTCTGGAACCGGAACTTGCCCCGGAACCTGCCCCGGTACCTTTGCTCCGGATGGCTCTGGAACCTGCTCCGGAACCTCCTGCGGAACCAACTCCGGAAGCTGCTTCGGAAGCTGCTGCGAGACCTTCTCCGAGGTCTTTACTATGGCTGAAGACCCCTACAAGCTTCCCTGTTGGGGAAAAACAGGCTTTGTAATGACCAAAGAACCCAAGCACTTTGCGGTTTGGTTTGGTGCCACATCCATTCTCTTCCCACTTGTCCAACTGGGGAGAAGCTCCCTTTCTTTCAACGGTCAAAAGGCACGTCACGAGGGGTTAGTTCATTCCATCTTTTTGTTTAATGTCAGTGCTCGGATCAGTCTCAGAAAAGCTGCCAATGCCTTCAAACCATACCAGCACCTTCAAAGGGGTCACCAATGGAAGCCCCTACACTACTAAGGGACCTCCATTGGACACCCCTTGAAGGTCCAGGTAGTCATATTCCATCTATAGCTGAACATATTTTCAAGATTCGATATCTCGGTCTTCTCCAGACCTCTTGTCCATTCTTCTCGCCTTTGATGCAGCAGCCGCTCTCAAGTGCATCATTGTACATCTACCGGATCTACCATTCAATCCCTCAGTTGTTTTGTAAAAAGAGGGCAATCTCCCACCCCTTTGTGCTATAGAAAGGAAACTAGTCGACCCATGTCGACCCAAACCGTCCCATCCCTTGATCTCTTGGGGCAACCAGGAGGAAGGCCCCCTATACCAGGCCCAAGTATATCAAAATGTTCATAGTTGCTAGGAAGAACTTGCTGAAGAACATCTGTTTGCAATATCTTGGAATTCATCCAACTTGAGCCCTGCCTAATGGATCCCTTCATGGATCCCTTCGCGCCACAAGCGCCACAAGCCCCACACCAGCTGCGCCCCAGCTGTTTCATCTCGGCCCCCAAACCACCGGCATGGCGTCGTCGGACGCGGGGTCGGACGCCTGAAGAAGAAGACGGGCAAACAGCTGGCGGTTTCAGGGCCAAACAAGTCGGTGGGAGTGAGGATGACCGTGAAGCCATCCTAGACCAAGTGAAACATCTGGAAACCATTGGCACATCAAGACTCAAGAAGTGATGATGTGATTTTGATGAAGTGGAGTTTCCACTGGCCAAAACTGGACACATGCCAACGATGAATTTGCAAGGTGTCTGACAGCTGCAACTCCAAGCTGAGTCTGAAACTGCGAAACAATGCCTAACATGTTATCCGATGACTTTCATGGCTGGTGAAGAAACGATGTCCAACATCTAACCAAACCCAGACCATCCGTGTATGGTAGATTATGGTAGTATATAATATATGCCTGCATTGACCCGCCAAAGCACCCCAACTCATCGGCAAATATGCTAACCGTCCCATGGATGGTCTGGGAAAGCAACCAAACGAACCGAACTCACCCGTCACTCGGCCTCTGCCACCGGTGCTTCGCCACCCCGCGGGCTGCCGGAATGGTAGAGCTCCAGTGGAGCTTGGCGGTGAAAGGGAGTATCCAGCTTCGACAGAAAAGGAGGACAAGCAAAAGAGCGACATACAAAAAAACTACAAAGAACATGTCAAGGTCTTTGACGGAAAATGACTGGTTGGTGCCAGAATGCCATACTTGGGCGGTGCAACACGGCTGAAATGGTGCTTTCGGCCTCAACCGAACCGTGACGCCACACCAGTGACGCCAGTCCCATGCTGTCGACTGCTCAGCTGATCAACATTCTCTTGGAGGTCGTTTAGGTAGCATCTCGGCCGGGAGAACTCGACAGGGCGCCAGGCGCAGCCTCGCTGCATCACTCAGAACCAGGAGTCGAGATGCTTTTGTATATAGATCAGATCAGTTTGTGGATCATTCCCTACCAAATGGTCTACCTTCAGCAAATTCTACTCAACCAGGACCAGGGCAGAGTATCCAGCCCGCATCTTGCATATTGGCAGCTTGGTCGACCCTCCGGAAAGTCTCCTAAATCACCCAAGATCAACAACTGGCTTTTCAGGTCCCAAATCTGCCGTCCAAATTGAGTGCAGGAACGAAAACGATGACAACAAACCACTTGGTTTCAAGCTGTAGAACCCTGGGAACTGTCGCTCTGCGCAATTTGGGCAATCGGACTCAAAACCCCTCCAAAAAATTCAGAAAAGAAAAGGACCCCAACCGTCCTGGACCTTGGTCACTCACAAACCAATAATTATATATCTGCGCTGCTTCAGATACGATGCTCGGCAAGGTGGAATTAGCGCTCTTGTCTGTCATCTTTTGAAGATGTCAGCTTTCCAATTTCGCAGCTGGACACTGAAGAACATCTGGATGGATTGGCTTTGCTTCATGGGGAAAACCACCGAGGATATGATAAGGTATGAACAGCCATGGTCTGTGCTCGCAATAGGCATCCACAGGGTCCAGTGGTCCTATTCAACGCCTCTTTTGCCCGCACTGGGACAGGTATGAACGGACATCGACCACAACTTCGCCGCCAGCGGCTGGCCAAAGACCGTGACAGGAACAGGTTCCCAGTGATGACTTTCCGTTTGAAAGTTCCAAACATATTGCTCCTGTTCATGGCTGAGCCTCTGTTCGCTCTTTGTTCGCTTCATGTGGCACATTCAGACATCACGAAGCGGGTCCTTTTATAAATCTTCAGTTCGTCCTCCTTGAATACACTTAGTATCAAGTGCTGTGCGAGCATCACGTGCAAGCGAACGCACGGATGCTTCAGTCCAGGTGCGATGTATCAAAATGAGCGCCTCCAAGAAATCTGGGCTACTACTACTGCTACTGCTTCCTCTGACTTCTTCTGACTTCTTCTTCCAAACTTCCTACTTCTACTACCTAAAAATACCAAGTTCCCTGGAGACGACTCCGTTGGCTTTTCCTAGGACTGCGTAGCTCTGCAACTCGTCACTGCCTGGCGGTGCAACCAAGCTGGTGGTGGTCGTTGGTCGGGCTTGGTCGCTTTAGGTGAAGACTCGGCGAAAGCTAGAATTGGTGAAGTTGTAGATCTGTGTGGAACAATCCGATGATGAATGGTCCCTCTAATTACTGTACTTTCCGATGATTCTGATCTGGTACCTTAAAGGTCAGCTTTTCTGAGTGCTGGATGTAGCTTAAAGCAATATTGATCATGTTTGGTGTGTTCATGATTGCAGCAATTCAAGGCCTTGTCAGAGATGAATTGATTGCAATCTTGACAAGAAGCTCCAACTTTGGATGAGAGGCCGCAAACCACTATATATATATATATATACGTTCTCATAGGAGGTAAGAAAACAAACAACGCAGTATCACCTTGAATGGGGATCCAGATGTCCTAGCTTTCCAGGCAAGCCATCGTGATGGAAAAAGAGTTGGACCAACCGTTTGTTGCTTGGTTTCGGCCTGGAGATACAGAATCTTTCATGACCATGTATGATCTTGTATGGGAACAACAAAAAACAACACACATTAAAAAAACACATAGAATATGAGCTGCAAACCCCAAAGGGATGCTTCCCAGCGGACCATAGTGGACCATTTCAAGATTTCAGGGAATCTCCCAGTCTCACAGTCAACTGCTCCGTGAACAAAAACTCAGATATCTTGGCTTGGCATGCTATAGTTTAGGCGTAGTCAGCTAGTTTAGGTGTTATTGGGGAACCCTTTGTTTCTTTGTTCCCCGGCCGGAACTCGTGCACGGACCTGGAACAAACAAGCACCCGGACAAGCAGTAGGTGCGTTTGGAAGCCGCTGCATACGGGCTCTAACATGTTCTTTCTTCCCCAAACAGTGTGGACACACTTTCTAGTAAGGGGTTCTTACGGTAGGGGTTCAGCACCTGTGTTTCTGTCTGACCTTGATTTGAGACCACCAAGCACCTTACATTGAACCACTTCAAGAATGGCAGCCATGCCACTTGTCCACATGCGGGTCGCGCAGTCGCGCTCGCGCTCGTGCGACGATTCGTCCTGTAAGGTCCGCTCCAAGCGAAAGGCCTCGATTTGAGACCACCAAAAGGTGGATTTTGGAGGATCCCTGGAGGCCCTGGATGAGGAAAGCAGGCAAAACCTAGTGGGTTCCCAATGACCTTCCAACCAAGTATAGTACAGTCATTGTGTTCTTTTTTCTGTAGCAAAATCCATTCACTTCACGTAGGTGCTGATTTGGACATCGAAACAACACACGGGATTGTGCCATCTAGTCTGTCTGAAACCACCAGTTGACCTGATCAGGCGATGCTTCAAAGTTGCACTGGAAAAGAGATATGCTCGGAAAACATGCTATAAGACCTTCCGGATTAGGTTCGCACTCCACTTTCCCAAACGGAACATGTTGTTTTACTTCCAATTCCCAAACAATTCAAGAGCCTGAACTCGAATTTTATCAAATGGCTTCTGAGAACTTAGGATCGGTGAAACCCCTCAATCCATTCTGAGTCTTCTGATTGTTGATCCACTGTTGATGGCAAAAATCCTGCATTTCAAAGCCCAAGTGCCCAGCACTCCTTCTTAGCACTATCTCACTCTCCCACTGAAGATCTGTCCAGTGGCCAAGCGTTGAAGTTGTTTCTGCTTCGCGGCCTGCGCCCGTTCAGCCGCGGCCACGCGCGCCCCCAGGCGCGTGGCCGCCATGGGCGGGTGGGCACGCCTCAGAGCGGGCGCCTGGAGAAAGGTACTTGAATGATGAGCAATCGGTTGATAAATTCTCAACCAGGACAGGATTTCAGGGATGACATATGATTTTTTGTTGGGCATGAAGCCGAAGAGCACCGACAAGGACTTGGGTCTTCCATGAAGTGTAAGAAACTAGCAATCCTTCATGAAATCAACAAAAATGTAAACATGTGGCTACCAAATGCAACTCACATCAAGCTTAGACCAATGACCCTAATGCTAACGTTTCAATGGGAAGGAATAAACACCAATGGCATCACAAGCAATCCAGCTTTCGGTTGCCTGTTGCAACCTCGACGGATCGTTTTGCACCAGAGTGGAATTATCTAGTTTTTTGAGTCTGAGCCAAGCATGTGCCAGACACAAATACTCGCAGAGGCTCAGCTCCGGGATGATTCTTCGAGTTTGAGAGATGACCGGGCACCAACCTGACGTTCCTTTGTGAGACGGGCAATTTTGAAGATATCCAAAAGCTCATGGCAACGAGGTTGTGCCAGAGGTGCTTGCTGCAAATAGATATATGACATATATATGTCAGCGCCTGCCTCACACCTTTTCGCAGCAAATCTCTACATTAAAGTCTCGGGCGTCCACGCAAAAAGAGTCCTAGAGAACTGAAAGGGGATTTCATTCAACCCTTCAGTGAGCAACTTCCCCCTGGTGAGGGGGGGTGGGCTACTCTCGAGCCCTTGGCGAGCAACGACACCTCAAGGTGACGGCCAATCTGACATACCTGTGTCTCACACTTTCATGTCAGCGCCTGCCTCACACCTTTTCGCAGCAAATCTCTACATTAAAGTCTCGGGCGTCCACGCAAAAAGAGTCCTAGAGAACTGAAAGGGGATTTCATTCAACCCTTCAGTGAGCAACTTCCCAAATCACTACGGATGACCCAAGGCACCAAGTGTTGACCAGGGAACAAGGGGGGGAGGGAACCAAGAACCAAGGACGCCCCAAACCAAACACAAACAAAGGTGTGTGCGAGTATGCGCAGTTGCACTTCTCAGTGTGTCCTCTGTTCGATTGCTTGCGACAAGAGGGTGTGAGCCAAGCTGTGACACAAACGACTTGGGTAGGGCTGTGCGATCAACGTCCACGGTGTACCTTTGTTGTTGGAACCTGTAAGATGAAAGTGCTTCTTGCCACTGCGAGAACAATGTCCATTCTTTGCTTGACAGGTTCTTTGAAGACGCAAGGAGTCGGTTTCATCACAATTGCCAATCAAAAAACGTGTCCTCTTTCTCCACTTTGTTCCAAACTGGCAAAAATCACAGACCCTTACATGAACAGAAGCATCGTTGACCAACTTTTGAAGGGGAGGGAGAAACCACATCTTTGAACAGTGAGGGTTCTCGAGTATCCAAGGAATTGTATACTTGTTGAGGTCTCCAATGATTTCAAGCGCAGCCTTTATGCAACTGTTGCCTTGTTCAACTTTCTGCTGATCCTTCTCCGACAGCCCTGGCAGCCCCCATGGACTACTGCGTGTCCTAATGACCGACGTTCGATCTCTTGCTGGGGAAAAACTGCTACAAGGAGGTGCAAGCATCACAGCAACGATCCGTCCACGACGAATGTCCTCTCTGATCTTGAAAATGACTCGCCTATCTGTGAGATCATAAGCAGGCCCATGAACCACGTCCCATTCCTTTGTCAGGAAACCTAAGGTCTGTGCCGCTCGTGCCACACCTCCTGAGCCTGAAAAAAGATCAGCCAAGAACCTATTGCTCTTTCTGTCTCTCAAGGGAGCGAGATGTACGGATACTCCTGGTCGAGGATGATGTCTCCGATGTGCCTCTCGGCCAGACTGCAGCATAGTTGGATGGCCGGATCGAGTTTCTGCCAAGTCGCAGCCAACCTCCCCACCTTTTCGTAGCGAGCTGTGCTCGTCCTCGACATCCACCCACCTCGTTTCCTCACTTCTTCTTGTGTCCGATTGTTCGCCGCTCGGTCGATTGACGGTCCCGAGTGACGTGCTTGGTAGGGCACCACATCCAGCCTCAACTGATCGCAAGCTTCCCGAAAAACTGTCAGGTACTCGCTGTAGTTGAAAGTCCAGACTTTGTCCATCTTTTTGCCCCGGGCCAGTTCTTCCAACAATGGGTGAATGAAGGTCATCCACGAGGAGTCCAGCAAGATTGAGTCGTCTTTTGTCCCGGTTTTTGACACATCGCTCGTCTCTGACAAGGAAGTGACTAAGCTCCAGAACTTGGTGATGCCCTGAGTGGGCTTGACCAATCCCATCTTTCTCAACTGAAGGAGAGTGCTTGGCCGGTGATATGAACTCAACTGCACAAGGTTGAAAATTGCCTTCTGCCGATGTCCCAAGACCACCATGCGCCACGAGATTGCGCACCATACAGCCAGTGGGTATGCCAGTCTCGATCTTGACGGGCAAAGTTTTCTCCAACCCTTCAAACACCTCCATGCACGGGGAATCTTGCGATGCCCCAACTTCCCGAAGCTCGGGTCCCGATCGCACAGCGCAGCTAGAGTGTAGTCCCACACATAGGAACCCTCCCCCTCCGAAAACTTGTGGTTGAAGTAAATCACCAGGGCTAAATCCATCTCTTCGTCCTTTTCGAGGGGGTACCTGCGGTCTAGAACAAACTCCATGAAGTCCTCCAACCTTTTCCGGTAGTTGGACCTGACACGTTTGGTGACTGCAGCCATCTCCAGGGGTGTCATCTCTAACTGCGCATGCTCCATGGTCACATTGACATACTCTTTGAGAAGCCCCTTTTGTTTCCTTTGAGGCCTTCGAGTTCTGCCTTCTAAGTTTCCGACCTTCAGCTCTGATGAAGTGCTTCCACCACTGCTCTCTTCGTCGAACCGAACTGGGTGGCCGACGAGTGACTTCTTGTCCTTGAAGTTCTTCTCCAAGTTGGTCAACTCGGCAGCTGTGCTCGGCAAAGGTTTTGTCAGGACCTTCTTTTCTTTCAAAAGATTCTGAGCCCGTGTCTGAGTGTCCAGGATCCTCTCTCTCTTCGCACTTGTCGGCAACTCTCGCTGCCGGCTCTCCTTCTTCAAGCTCAACTCCCGCTTCCGAGACTTCTGTCTTGTCTGGGTGTCCTTGTCGGAGTGACTGCTCGGAAGCTGCAAGAGCCGTGTGCGCTTGGGCGCCATGCGAAGTGTGGTGTGCTACCTTACCACCCTCGAACCAAGAATCACCCAAGAGGTCAACAAGAAGGTTTGAGTCACCCGGTTCAAACATTCGAGACGGCTCGTCTGAAATGTTCAATTCAGACGGGATCCAACGAATTGCCAAGTGAATGTTCCTACAAAAACAATACGCGGCGATCCTACGGAGAACCTTCAAAAGTCTGAAGTTTTTCGTCCTACTCCGTTCAACAGAGAGGACAACTGACATGTTATCACACAATACGAGCTGACGGATCGAGTGGCCGTAACGAGTGTGCGCTATCCGCATCAAACTTTTCAAGACAGTCCTAGCTTCAAGTAAGAGAATTCCTTCTGGGTGAGACCATTTGCCCCACAACACAGGTTTCCACATCTCCCTGCGCAAACCGGCTGAGGAGACCTCCGGAAAGGAGTGATCAACCTCCCAGCCCTCATCAGCCAGCCTATCCAGAGTGATGCGCTGTGTGGGGACCCATTGCCCGAGGTCTTGTGTGAAACCTGCCGCCTGCAAAGCTGACTCGCGCGCCTTATGACTGCTGACGCGCTTAAATCGAGTCCGCTCCAGCCGACGACCGGCTTCTGCTACCTTTTCTCTGGGCCACCACGAATGACAGATTCCATATCCAGACAGACTGGCGTCACTAGAACTGACAAGCTCGTTCCATTGTCTATCCCAGCTCTGCACCAGTAAAAACAGACAGCCACAAAAAGCCTGCAGCTCCTCACGGACGCTATGCCAAATGACTGCTGCTTCATCATAATGTCTTTGGATGAACTTGTAAACTGTGTGAAAACAAGACAAGCTTCGACGATTCATGAGGCCACAGAAAGTGCAATGCCCCACAAGCACCTCCAGAGATCTTCCGGAACATCTCTGCCTCTGGAGGAGCCCGTGGATGGCATGATGGAGCCGCCACATCCGAGTAGGGTTCAGCCTGGTACGGAGTCGGTTTCCTTCTATCAAAGTACCCAACGCAACCGTTCCACCTGAACTGACCTCACTCCCGTGTAGCACAAGCCCTGCAGCATCGAAAGCCTTTTGCAAGGCTTTCAGAGCATTTGCGACAAGCTGTTGGTCAAAATGAAGAACCCCAAGATTGTCCACATAGACATAGTAGTGTGTCTCGGTTGACTGGTCAACTTGTCCAACTCTCAACACAACAGGGGGCCCTCTATCATGCACCAAACTAGCTTCCCTCAAAAGATCAACCGATTTGCACATTTGCTCATTTGCTTTCTGCGCAAAGTAGAGGCTCCAAGAGAAACCCTGGCAAAGAGAACCCGCGCATGGCCACACCGGATCGAGCGGCCCAAGCGTCTTCCCGTCCACAGTCTCACCTGTCAGTCCAACAACTTTGGCAGGCGCAGCCTCCCAACAAAAATATCTAGACAGCCAACGAGGAACCCTCATTCTGTGAAAACAATCCTTCACATCTGAAAGCCCCAAATGGACTACCAAATGATCGAAAAGCGACGTGTCTTCAAGAGCAGCCACACCCATCTCCAACTCGACCCTCCCTAATCCCTCCGATGTCATAAGAGAGACGGGAGGGGCGTCTTTGAAGAGTCTGTTAGCGCATCTAGCATCGGTGATCATTCTCAGCTTTGTCTTGTTGCTTTTCCACACAAAGAACACTGAAATCTGGCACTTTGGTTGAGTGGTGAAATTGAAAAAATGTATGTCTGTCAGCCTCTGCACAAGTTTGTTGTACTCCTTGCGGTTGTACCGAAGAACTGGGTCCCAGTACGGCCTTGCTGTCGGCTCTATGCCTTCAAGCTCATCCTCTGTCCTCTTCATCAGCTCTGATTCTTCCTCCAAAAACTGACGGTCGCTCTCCCCAAGAATGTCGCAGAGAAAGGGACACTCCTTCACACTCTCAGGAATTGAGACGAGCTCAGAACGGTAGGGTGCGAGACTTAATTTGGCGCCGCCCCCTTCATATGGTGCGACACCATGGAGAAGCGATCTAAGTGCTTCCTCCTGAGAGTCAATGACGCCATTGGGCTCCTGATCTAGGATCAGGCCTTCCATACGCGTCAAGACCCACTCTTGCATAGGACTGCATGTGTTGCTGACCTCATCACGAAAACCAGCAAGCCAATTCATAGATTGCACAGCCTCATTGCAATTCTGTATCAAGCATCTAATTTTGCAGCGCCGCTTCTTCACCGCGCGACAGACACCCCGCTTGCGAGGTGGACATGCATAGTATGGGAGCGGAAAAATTCTTCGACCACCTCTGCTGAAAGATGCTGGTGGCCCTGGGAACTCCGCTGAATGGGCTCTGTGTTTTCTGACCTTGCCGGTGTCACGAGCCTTGACACCGGCCTGGTCCATTTCACTGTGCATCATCCTGCCCGAAACCACGGCCCTTTCCTTTTGTCTTCGGTTTGGCCGTCTTCTTGGGCAGGGCATCAATGGTGTCTCCTGTCTGGTCTTCTTGAGCTGTGGCAGGAGCACCCCGCAACTCACGAACCTTCTGCCTCGCCTGCAACAACTCCAGTTCATCCTTGTTCTTCTTCACTGCATACGTCCTGAAAGTCGGGCTAACAATGTCTTCTGGCTGAGCTTGTCCAGTAAACAGCTTGGCGTTCTCCCAACTTGGACGAGTAGGGTTGGTGTATGCCTCAACTATGGCCTGGAGTCGTCTGCACTGTACTTCCAAGCACATCAAGGCCGGGATATTGACTTGGTCGTAGGTGCCAGCATAAAACAGCGAGTCAGTGATGGTCTTCATCTCAAAATAAGTGCGATCAGTTGACTCAATGTGTTTTGCTCGTGTCCAGCTTTGCAACCACAAACGTGGATCCCCGCCTTGCCTCTCCATGTGTTTGATGACATGGAGGGCAGTGCTAGGTCCTTCAATGGGCTTTGCATCAAAAACAGGGGTGAAGCACTCAGCGCATAGGTCTCGCCAGCGTTTGTACCTCTCACCGTGCTCATCAACATCTACCCACAATGTACGGACATCTCCCTCCGAGTCACCTTCATCTGAAGCTGGCTTGGAAGCAACAGCCGGCTTCTCCTCCTTCAACAACTCTTTCTCAATCTTCTCAGATGCAGGCTGCGCAAACAATGCACGTCGACGTCTGGGGTAATCTGAAGCTTCTGTCATCGAGATCATCTCCACTTTCACCCAGACACCTGACCGCAAAGCCAGTGCAGTTGATGTCCCAACCTGAACGTCCTCCTTCTCATTCAAAGAAACCTCCTGCCCTAGAACCAGTCCCCCCAGTGGCTCAGCAGCTACCCAGACAAAACCATCTGGGGGATGCTGAACTCTTCCGGCGTTTTTGGGGAGGACAGGTTCTGTGGGGCGTTGACTCCTCCTCTCATCAGGCTTCCCTGTCATCCGACGACTCAGGAAGGCTCCTCCAAAAAACTCATCCAATGTCTGTGGTCGTCCAGCTGCATCCTGAACGACCGAAGGAAGTACTGCACCATAACCCTCCTCCACCGACATCCTATGAGCTTCCCTGATCTGTTGTTTGATCAGCGTATCACTAATCTCACTTCTGAATCTGTAAACTGGCTGCCGAATAGTCGAGGGCACCTGAAAATCATGATTCAGTGACCTGACCTTGGTAGGCCCATCTCCACCGTCACACGCTAAACTGGTAGCATAGAGGTCTTGGTCAGGTGTAAAAATGAAAAAGGTGTACTCATCAGCTCTCAATGCTATCAAGGCCTCGTGCCATACGTCATCGTCACTGTACCAAAGCAAGATCCGGGAACCGGGCACTAGCCTCGGTAACAACCCCACCTCCACGTCTGCGGGGCCGGGGCGAGATGGTCTCGACATTCGATCTCCTTTGACTCACCAAGCAAAACAGAACTCCCAGCACCACTCCTGTAGCAATGCCAACTGATAGCCCAGCGAAAAACAGCAGAAAATCTCGATCAATCCCTGGATACTTTGATGTCTCCGTACAGTTACAAGTGACAGGCACTTCGGCAACCGAACTATGGCGAGCAGGCAAATGAGGATGTTCCCGCAAAAGACTAGCGAGAAGCTGAACTCCTATTGCCTGCCACAACTTCATCCTACTCTCGAGCCCTTGGCGAGCAACGACACCTCAAGGTGACGGCCAATCTGACATACCTGTGTCTCACACTTTCATATATATATATATATACATCTGTTGTTCTGGCAACGGACCTTGTCTTCCTGTGTTCCATTTTGCGTCTTCCTCGTCTTCCTGCCATCCGTCCAAACCCACCGAGTCCTGCACTTCGCCCGTGGACCTCGGATGTATGGGTCGCTCCAGGGTCGGGTTCCAGTCCGTTTGAGGAGCGTTTCGACTCTGACCGGTCCGTAACACCGTCAGAAAAAGAACAAAACGTACTTTTGAGCTACATGCTTTGATATGCTTTGCACTTGTATCAGAACAACTTTAAGAACAACTTAGCTGTCTCCACGGCAAAAGAGAATAATGTTTGATTGAGACAAACAAAAGTGATTTAATTGATCATCGCACAGATTGGTATGGATCATTATGGATCCCAAGAACACGCCACAGACCGCCATGGCCCAGAACAAATCCTGAAAAGACTGAAACCCAAAAATGGCCCACGCCCACATGGCCCACCCATGACCAAACATGGCCCCAAAGACCAGACATCAAGCTGGGTGTCGGACAGCTCTCAGCCTTCTTCTCTGCCAGTCGGCAAATGGCATCTGCCTGCCGGCTATTGTGCTTTGTCTTGCTCCGGCTTTGGAGCTACCCTTCTGTTAGACTATTACGCGAGGCTAGTAAATCTGTTGGTTCACGAGGAGGTCCCTCATTTGAGACTGAATGCTGGTGTTCTTTGTCATTCGATGAAACCTCACAAACAATCGCAAAACAATCCCTGAATCGCAGTGCCATGTCGTCTTAAACTTATAAACCAATCACTTGCGTTGGCCCTTGTTTTTAACGAAACGATCACTTCGACAATGACCATCTGTAGCTGTGAGCCTCTGTAGCTGTGAGCGCACGGTGCCCGAAGCGCCCGCCACGGGGCTCCTATGACAGTGCATGGGGGAACCCGCCAAGTGCCTCTTTGGGCCGACCATCCTGGATGAAAACAAGACTTGTTTTAAGTGGAGTGACATGATGTTCGCATGCCCAGTGACATCAGCGACATGCCCAGCATGTGACATAGGTCAAAAGACACAAAGGGATTGGAATCCTGGTTGACAAACAAAAATCACACATATTATTCGGGGTTGATTTGGTTGGATTGTGTCTTTAGCGAAAAACCGCGGAATGCAGGTCAAGCTGTTGGCTGGTCCTGCATACTGCGCACCCAACTGGCCCTCAAGACAGGCCAGCCTGAGTCACGACATGAACAGGTCACCCGCCTGGTCGGTCCAGAAGTAGGAAGGGGTCAAACTATAGTAAATATAGTGTACCAGCAGTTTGACCAGGCAGTGTAGTTTGACTGGTACACTATATCTTTTTAATATCTAAAGTTAATATAGTGTACCAGCAGTCACAAGACAGGGTGCCGAACGAACGGAGGAAGTGGGGTGCTCCTGCCACATCACCACCCCGTCTTGTGACCCCTGGTATATAGAGTGTGTTTTAATCTACCTGAGACCTTTTGGAAACTCGTTTGTAGACTTATGTGACAAGACATAATCCTTGTCCTTTCTGCTGGTTTTCTTCAAGCAAGGTGTGGATCTCCCTCAGAAGAGTGCTCTCAACTATCGCGCAAAACTCATTTTCGTGTGTAGAATTCTCACTCTGCAATGCTGCAAGAAATAGATACGTAGAAAGGGCATTACTCACCTCCTCCAATATAATTTGGATACTTCCATCCATTTAGGGACCACGCGCCGCGCGAAACCATCCCGAGGCGAACACCTTGTTGTCGTGCCCCTTCGAGCTCTTGCTTCAAAGCCAAGGCCTGTGAGCGCTTTCTTTGGGAAGTTTGGGGTCTCAAGCCAGGGAACCTGGTTGCATTCCTCAGGGTATTTGGAAACCTGCAGCTATATTTTTTGGGGTGCGGTGCTTTGCAGTGCTTGGTGACATCTCGCCTGAGAAACTGCGGAAGGAAGACGCACGTGTTTTCTACCCAGAATGGTAAATCACCACGTGTTTTCGGTGTGGTTCGCATGAATTCTCTGGTGCCTTTCCATCTTTTCTTCCATGGTCACTTTGTTGAGTTGTTCAACCACCATTACTGGACCTTGTCTCCATATGCGGCGATCGATCCTGTTGTCCAAGATAGTGGTGGCGATCGGGTCTGAGTGAGAAATGCATCCACCAGTATACTGTACATTGTAATTGTGTGGATGCGAAACCCGGAGGTTTTAGTCATGTGTCTGTGTTCCATGAACCCGTTGCTTTAGAAAGTGTCCGGTTTTTGAGCCACAGATCCCCCCATATGTTCCAGTCTGCTTAAAAGAACCTCTCCTTTTGGTTAGCACACTTGAAACTGCCAGAAAAGGCATTGTTGGTCCTTTGCCAGGGCTGGTCTACCAGGTGTTCTCTTCGGTTTTCTTACCCTATGTGTTCTTGTTTTGTGGTTACGTTGCCAAACCACCCTTCTGATGACTGCTCATACATCTGAGCTGAACTGTGTGATCTGATTTTTCTCAGGGTGGGTGGTCCATATGTCGGCATGCACTGGTGGCAAGCAAACAATTGATCGTCGTCGGCTATCTCCATTATGGAGATTAAACCAACTGACAGGAGTCTATTGGTTTATGGAAGAGGCCAAACGTGGAGGAAAAGCAATTGTTTGGAACATGTGCTCTTTGCTGGCAACATTTGAAAAGGGCGATGGACAGTTTGCTAATGGTATTTTGTGGTTGCTCTAGCCATTGCCTTTTGCCATGGAGACTCAGGTTCAGCTTTCTCCGCGCAAATAGCAGCTAAGCATGAACATATCCTCCTTGCGTTCCAAATATTATTCGATGATGGGCGTATTCCAAGGATCCAATATCCACAGGATTGGACGTCGTTTGACTGAGGTAGACTCCATGTGCAAGCGAAACATCCACAGCATTTCACTCAAGACTACTGCCCAAACGTCCCAAGATCCCGACACATTGTGAAGCAGGATGTGCTTGTGTACCAAAGCACAGCAAGGGAGCTTGATCTCCGAAACAGTCTAGACTTGCACAATCAACATGGTTATACATGTGCATGTATCTGTATCTGTATATAGGCAAGAACGTTCTCGAACCTGTTGAACAGTTCAACACCATCAAAACCTCAGCCTTCACAAGCTCCAGCTGAAATCCGGCGCAAAGCACTAACGTTGTGCCCTTCACTGTGGAATACAGCTCTGATTCTGACAGCCGGGACAGGGTTCTTTGGTCTTTGATTGGTTCTGTACAGGACATGTGCCCGTCAAAGAGGCGAGAACCACGGTGATGTCATCGCAGTAGAAGGCCTAGGCGGTCAGACGGAGAGAACTCGAAATCGGCCCGGAGTCAGTATGGGCATGCAGCTGTTCAGGGGTTTTTGGTTCACCCTCCACCTTGTGGGATTCGAGTCAGTCCCTCCCATTCCCTCCCCCCTAACGTTGCGGCTTGGTGGATGTCACATCCGGCAGACTCAAAGTCGAGAATGTTGACATTTCCGGATCTGGGGTGCCAGGCCTTCTTTCGGGGGAATCCCTTAAGACCAACCCTTAAACATAATGCCGTTCGTTCTTCTGTGTTTCTAAACCCAGATTCGGCAAGCTACTAGGAGAGTGGTCCAAAAGAGAGGATTGGTCACTGATCCCAAACCCTTGGGGTTTCTTGGATGGTGGGAATTCCACTGGTCAAACCAAAATGATCACTCTAGAAAAAACGGGGGCATTGCCAGGAAGGCTTTTGGTGGTTTTCCGCCGCCTGCTCGCCCCTCTCGCCCCTCACGCCCCTCGCCTCGAGTTGCATCCAAGCCCTTCGTGCCTGCTGCAGCAGCAGATGCGCGGCCTCCAACAGAACCGATCCGGTCGGGTCCGTGAGAACCGCTGCGACACGAAACACATCCTGCTCTGAACAGAACCTCAGCTCTGCTCCTAGTGGGGGTTCTGGTCATGTTTATTTTCTTGAGTAGATAGGGTCTCGGCCAACATTTGGACAAACACTAGAGTCAAAGAAATTGAAATCTTTCACCCAAATCAAAGCCACTCTGAATATCACAAATATATGTAATGTTGAATATCTATAGAAACTTTCTGAAACTGCTTGGACATATTTTAGATCAGCACTGATGAATTGCCGTAGTCTGCCCTCACCGCTGCATCCATCACTCTGTGCTGGGGACACTTTGAGGATGATAGTTGTATAACACGCAGGCAACAAGTGAGTCGTATACAAAGGACACGGGGTGAACTGTTGGACCTGGATGGGTGTAGAAAATGAGATGTACATCAAACATCATTAAGCAGTATGTCATCTGGATGCCCTTTTACGCGTAAACCGCGCGTAAACCGCGCCTGGGCGACGTTTGGGGGATGATCTTGATCTTGGCACCATTGATAGAATCTACAGGATCCCAAAACTATGGATCATTGGTGCAAATGATGGTGATGTAGTTGATCATCAATTAATTACATCATATTACATCCCATCTAAACCAGCCAAACCAACCATATAAATTTCATCCAAGTATCATGCAACGGGTTAACCGGAGGCATGTGCAAGCCACATGTGCTTTGGTCTGTGCTCTTCTGAAATATCTGTGTCTGAATTGCATCCAAAAACCATACTTATATTCATCCACCCCAACCAATCCTCCAAGATTCTCCAGTCCTCTAGTCCCACTCCACCTCCCGCCTCAGGTGCTGATGGAGCAGATCCTTGCAGAGACTCTTGAAGAATCTCCCGAACCTCCTCTGAGCTCAGGAACTCCCAAACTCCTGAACCGCTGCCGGGACCGCTGCCGTCGCCCACCGTGCTGCGGGTCAAGGACGACCGAATTGATCCAGATGGCGAGACAAGGACGAACGGGAGACTCGTGCGCGTGCGTGCGTGCGTGCGTGCGTGCGTGCGTGCGTGCGTGCGTGCGTGCGTGGGTGGGTGGGTGGGTGGGTGGGTGGGTGTGTGTGTGTGTGTTGGATTGAAGGTTTCCAGCATGTTATATACATTCACGAATCCTCTCCAACAATACGTTGAAAGGGTATAAGGAATCGTTGGAGAGTTTACTCAGCCGTTGGGTAGGAATTGCTTGCGTTTTTCGTCCACTTTGGTGACCATACGTGACGTCCCATTTTTTCCCGAGCAGGGCGAGTTGGTACCTGTGTTTTTGGATGTTTTTGGATGGTTGACATGGGGCCTCTGCAAATGGACGAGTTCTTTCAGCGGCCCTGGTGGTGACAAATCACATGGCTGTGAGAAACTCCACCTCCCCCACCCAGCCAGGCCACGGGAGGCTGACATCAGACATCCCTTATAAAGGGATCTGTCAACCAGGGTGCACGCGTTTGGTCCCACAGCCACATGTTTGTTCACATGACATGTCGTTTTTGCCACCGCGGCTCCATCGCTGCAAATCACCAGCAGCGACTCCGATGAAGAGACCTGGTGCCAGGTGCGGCTCTTTCTATGCCTACGGGATCTCAGGAGTAGAATCTTCAATTACTCACTAAGCGAGACACCTGGAATAGGTCATATCATTCTATATGTATATACCCCCAGTGCATAACTTCCGATCCATGACGTCACGCGTCGGAAGGACGTGATCGGACAAGTTCACCACGCATCGGTCGACCGTTCGTCCTCGCGGTGGTCGACACCCCGACCGGAACGTGTCCGAGCGGAGTCCGAGCGGAACGGACCTGCCAATGGACCACCTCTGGCACTGCCGTCACACCCGAGTCTTTGAAGATCATGTCGCCCAAGGAGCCTCGCTTCGTCCGAAAGGAAGAGCGAGTTGGCGAGTTGGTGTGGTCGTTGCAAACGTCTTTTTGGGGTCAAATTCACCGTTTGTTTGTCGTCTGCCTTAAGCATCCTTAAGCTTCAAGAAAAACACAAATTGAATACACATGATTTCCATTGAGTCATATTGAGTCTGTGTGAATCTCCTAAAGTGCAACAATAAAACATTAAAGAAACAAAATAAAACCGAGGTTCAACATTAACAGGGACTGCGCACATGTCTCTTAAAGACTTAGCGAGTGAGCGGACCACAACTGTTGATGTTACCAGTTCATGCTTGAAAGAGCCATCAACTGTGCCACGAAGCGGGACGGGCGCCTATATATAACGTCCTATATAACATCTAGCCACGGCGAAGAACCGGACTTGCGAAGGAATCCCGAACACGTGGGCTACTTACCCCGAATCTTTTTTGGTTTGCAAAGAACTCGAAACATAATTCGTCTCCTCCCAAATCCTGCAAAGCTTCAGGGGAACAAGACCGGTCCCTTCCACAGCAATAGTAGGACTTCTTCTTCTAGTAGGACTTCTAGCAAGACACTTGTTATGGAAGGGACCGATGTGTCCGTATCTCCTACCTCCGAATTTCTGCTGATCCAATCGTGCATTTTTACCGTGGCGGCCGAAGCGTGAGTGAAACGGATCGCGTCTGCAGGCTGCTTTCCTTCAGGTCATTTGTGTCCCCCAAATACTCGGCCTATATCTGGAATATACTGGAATAACCATCCTAAAGTATTCCAAGGATGAACACGGATGAACAACTCAACAAAGGATTTGAAACCACCAGCACCCCAGACTGGCGCCACTGGCGGCCTTGCTCTGGTGGTGTGTCCGTTGGGAATCTGTCATCCGGTCGGGCTGGTCAAACACCAAAGACATCAAACACCGGAGGACCACAGGCCCCCCAGGCCCCCCTCCTTCGTCAGGATCTCGTTGGAAACGCCGCGTGAGACCCGAGTCACCGAAAACCATGTCCAAGCAGTGCCAAGCAGCGTGAGATTGCAATTTGCGGAGAGACCATGTCCTTGGG